GGTATGGACAGGGTGAGACAGCTGGTCAGCAGCGTCACGGGAGAAGCTCTCTGACCCGACCTAGCACTAAGATGAGCCACCATTCTGTTCTCATCGTGTGCCCTAACGCCCCCGTATACCAAGGAACTGAAGCCTGAGAGGGAACAGAGCTCAAGCAGCGGAGCTGGGGACCTGACTGGGGCTCGGGCCATGAACACTTGTCATCCTCATCTCCCGAGAGCGATGGAGACCCATTCCTACTCTCCCAGGATGCCACTGAATATCCACTCCCAACCCCCATCTCTGCAATGGAGGCTGTTCCTGCTCTCCTAAGGATGCCATTAAATATGTGACCTTTAAAGACCTAAGTCACACTACATTGGTGGCTTGCTACTGCTCAGAATAAAATCTAGACTCCTGACCTTACCCCACAAGGTCCTCCTGCCTGCCGAGGCCTCCCAACCTCAGCAGGCACTTCCTGGAAAAGGTCTACACTGGCCGCTCTTCCTTGTCTTTGGGATTGTTTATTTATTTTTATTTGTTTTACTTAAAATTTAAAAAAAATTATGGGGCTGGAACAATGGCTGAGCAGTTAAGAGTACTGGCTGTGTATCTAGAAGGCCTGGGTTTGACGGCACATGGCAGCTCACAACTGTAACCCCAGGCTCAGGAGACTTAACGCCTCCTGTTGGGACTCCATGCTCATTAGTGAAACTTGATGTGGGATTCCCCTCTGTGTGCTGTGAATATCATTGGCTAATAAAGAAACTGCTTTGAGCCTAGAGCAGAGCAAGGCAGAACAGAGCTAGGTGGGGAAAACTAAACTGAATGCTGGGAAAAAGAAGGTAGAGCCAGGGAGAAGCCATGGAGCTGCTGTCAGAGACACACATGCCAAAACATTGCCAGTAAGCCACAGCCATGTGGCTATACACAGATTAATGGAGATGGGTTAGTTTAGGATATAAGAGTTAGCCAGGAATATGCTTAAGCTATTGCCCAAACAGTATTGCAAATGATATAGCTTCTGTGTGGTTATTTCGGGAGTCTGGGCAGCTGGGAACACAAGCAGACTCCTACTACAGACACTGCCTGTGACACATCCTGTCATAGCTCCTCTCTGTGCATCCTGCGTCTTGTTCATCTCAGGGTCCCCAGCACCTGCACGGCTCCTGAACAAGGAGGCGATTGTCAACTGGGGTGTACAGCTACAAAGGGCTGCCATGTGCACCACACGAGCCACCCTTCAGGGAGGAGGATGGACAGCCACTCTTATGACCAGGTCCTCACAGCTGTCTGAAAGTCCCACCTGGAACCATCAGCTGCAAACCTGAAACCTCCCCTCAGAGAACAAAGCCAAGTGGCAGCTGTGGCTTCTCCACAACTGTTTGGTTTGCAAGAAGGAAGTGAGAAATACCAGCACATGCTGGTAATAACCCAGGAACCTCTCTCTTACACCATGGGGCATTAACTGGCTTCAGCCTTAATATTTCAAGGTGAGTTCTCCTCCCTGGGGTTGCCCTAGGGGAAATCAAGTACGGCACACAAAAGCAGGCCTATGGCAGTTTATCTGTTCTGTGACATCTGAATTAGTTTATATTTATATTTAGTTTATGTGTGTTAGTGTTTTTGTTATTCTCTCTTTCTCTATATCTGTGTGTGTGTGTGTGTGTGTGTGTGTGCGCATTTAAAAGAGGGAGAGGGAGAGACTCATGCAGGCCAGGCTGGCTGTCATCGAACCAAGATCCACCTGCCTCAGCTTCCTAAATGCTGGGATTAAAAGCATGAACCACCATGCCCAGCCAAGTTTTTTAAAATTTATGTGTATGACTGCTTTGCCCACAGGTAAGAACGTGCACTATGTCCATGCGTGGTTCCCACAGAGGTCAGAAAAGGGTGTTAGGCCCCCTGGAACTTGAGTTAGAGGGTTGGGATCCAATATGTATGTGTATTTGGAAACTGAACGACATTCTTCTGAAAATGCTCTTAACACTGGCCATCTCTCTCCAGCCCCCTGAATTTCTTTTTAAGATTTGTTTTTATTTTTATTTATGTCTGCATGTCTATAGACGTGAATGCCACATATACACTGGGTGCCTGTGGAGGTCAGAAAAAACCATAGGACCCTGGAGCGAAATTTATAGGCAGCTGTGAGCTGTATGGTATGGATCAGGTGCTGGGAGCTAAATTCTGCAAGCTCAGGGAGTGTTCTAACTGCTGAGCTATCTCCAGCCCTAAGATTTGAACTTTATTTTTTTTTAATTTTTATCATTCATTCATTCATTCGCTCATTCATTTCTGAGGCAGAGTCTCACTATGTACTCTTAGTTGGCCTGGAACTCAGTCTGTAGACCAGGTTGGACTCACATTCACTGAGATTAACCAGCTTCTGCCTCCTGAGTACTGAAATTAAAGACATAACACTGAACCCAGCCAGAGAGCTGGATTTTTTTTTTTTTAAAGAGTATTTCCAGGCTAGGTGTGGTGGTACAGGCTTGCAATCCCAGCACTTGGGAGGCTGAAGCAAGAGTATTTTTTCAACTTATGGCCATCTGGCCTACACAGCAAAATCTTGTCTCAAAAAGTTATTTTTCAGCAGGGCGGTAGTGGTGCACACTTTTAATCCCACCACTCAGGTGGCAGAGGCAGGCAGATCTCTGTGAGTTCAAGACCAGCCTGGTCTATATAATAAGTTCCATGACAGACAAGGCTATACAAGAAACTCTGTCTCAAAAAAAAAAAAGTCATTTTTTATTCTCTGGGCGAAACAACTTTTAGAGCATACCACTGACTAGCACAGACTCAGACCACCCCTACGCCTACCCCGCCTCAATCAGTGTCCCTGTGGCAGAGAATACATCAACACTCAGGTAATGCCCAGTCAGAGGCTGGAGCCCAGTCCCAGGCTCTCCCAGCACAACAGCCACCTTCCCAGTGGGCCAGGATTGGCTTTAGCCTGCACATTGCTTTTAGAAACGCAGTTTGCAGAGTGGCAATATCATAGCCAATGAGGTTTATCCAAGGTTCAGTTATTGCTAATGGAAAACTTTGTCAACTGGGTGCACACCTTTAATCCCAACACACAAACTTGGGAGGCAGAGACAGGCAGATCTCTGTGAGGATCTCTCGAGGCCGGCCTGGTCTACAAGAGCTAGTTCCAGGTCAGCTAGGGCTGACTAGAAACTCTGTCTAGAAAACACACAAACAAAAAACCAAAGGGGGGAAAGAAAAGACTTTTCCCAACACCCCGCCATGACGGACTGAAACATAGTTGGCATTGGTAATTTAAAAAAAAAAAAAGAAATATATTTTGAATATGTGGCTAAAACTCTGAAGTTCATAACTTTTCTGAGGACCAAACTGCAACTTCTGTTGAAAACCTCAACATAACTGACACTCAGGGCCGGCTGCCTGTGAGACAGGAGAGTGCTGCAGAGAGAGAGCGCTCCCGTGGATGGTGCCCTCCAGCCCATGCTGCTGCAGAGAGAGCGCTCCAGTGGATGGTGCCCTCCAGCCCATGAGGCATGAGCGGCAGGCTTAGCACACGCCCTCCTAAAAGTCCTCTGAGGAGCATAATATACAGACCCAACCAAAGGGTAAAAATCAAGACAGCCAACACCTCGAGGCAGAAGTGTCACACACGGCACCGGCCAGTCCTTCCCATCTCACGCCAGACATCACTCTATACATTACTCTCCGTACAGCTAGGAGGGCCCAGGCCCAGGCTCTATCCTGCACCCCAGAAAAGGATGCTGAGAAGCAGGGACTGACTTTCTCATTTTGTCCTCTTGGTTGTGTGTCCTTTTAGTTGTTAGCCTCTAATGGCTGAGCCAGCTCTGCAGCCCCCGACTTTCCAGTCTACAAAAAATGCAGGCACACATTTGCCCACAGTCCCACCACTGTCCAGTTAAAGAACAAGCTTCCAATTCCTGTATATCAACTCCAGAGAGCCTCTTTGTCTTCATATAACCAATTTGAACTCAGCAACTCTCACATGACCCAGTTCACAGTGGGGAAACTGAGGCATAGAAGGACAAGTCACAGGCTGAATTCATTATAGTAGAAGCAGGAGCTCCCAGTCAGGAGATGTAGCATAGCCCTATAATCCAGGCACTGAAGCAAGAGTTCTGTGTTCCAGGCCAGCCTTGGAGCCATAGTAAACCGCTATCTCAAAAGACCAACGACTGGTATTGTGGTTTAAGGGCAATGCACAAGGCCCCAGACTTTATCTCCAACACTTCTTGAAAGGAAAAATAAAAAAATAAGATGTAGATCTGGGATTCAGGTTCAATGAGCTTCACTCTGGAGTCCTGCTCCACATTCCTACCCCAGTCAGTCCACTCCTCACTGAACTGGGTATCCTTGGGCGTTCAGATGGTGGAAGGATCAGCTTCCTCATCTAAAAATGGGGTGCCACTCTATATGAGCTTAGCCTGCCACTGTATGTTAACTGTACAGAGCAGCACATGGCATTACCTACCTCTGAACCTAGGCTGAGCGTGGGGCTCCTGCAGAGGGAAACAGCTGAGAGGGTCTGCTGTCAGCTGCCACTCCACCCGACCACTACAGTTGGCTGAAACCTACCTCCAGAGGGGTGAAGTCATGATTGACCAGGAATGCCAGAATGGCTGTGGGAACAACGAGGAACTCCACCCGGAAAGTGTCGTGGTTCCCGTCATAAGTAGCTTTGAACTTGCTGTAGATCATCCACACCGTGGTAAAGGAACAAGCTATGTAGACCACCTGATGAGAGAAGGTGACAGGGCAGCTCACTCACAGGACAGCTCCATCCAGTAGGCTCACACATGGGAAATCGAGTTTCCAGCCTACCTCCCTCAAACCAGATGTCCAGACCCCACCCACCTCACTTCCTTCATGCCCAAATGTCTAGACATCAGTCTTCCATACTTAGACCCAAGAGTAGATGAGTCCCTCCTCCCTCAGACCCAGATGTCCAGACCCCAGCCCTCCTCCCTCAGACCAGAGCTCCAGGCCCCAGCCCTCCTCCCTCAGACCAGAGCTCCAGGCCTGAAACCCTGCCACAGGGGGCGCCGACTGTAGGTCTACCTTCATGCAGGTGTTGTAGAGTGAAATGTAGTTGGTGAACAGGTCTAGGTATCGGGCAGTAAACACCACAGCAAACAGGACCTGGCTCTTCCCTGAAATGCCTGGTTGAGACAGAGAACAAGGGGAGGGTACGGGAAGCTGAGGTGGGCTACTTGGACAATAAACTGAAGTGCAGCGCCTGGGCCGACCAGTCCGGAGTTGTCGCTCCCCAAAGGCCTTGAAGCCTGAGCACGGCCCTTTCCCACCATCCACAGCCAGGGGGCAGCCGGCCCCAATAATACTACAGACCGAGGCTCCGTCCCAGGCTAGGCCTCGCTGGAACCCTCGTCTCCTTCAGGGTCCCCTGATAGTCTGGACCTACGTTGAGACCTAGGGAGAGCCCTGCCTGACTTCAACCTCTCAGCCAGTCACCTTCCTCCCGCTCCCTTCCTGGCCTTTACAGTCCACGTCACCAACTCCCAGCCACCTCCCCGCCTGCCATGGCTCCTGGTTCCCAGCCCCGGAACACCCATAGCTGCCCCAAAGGGTGCTGCAGAAGGTTGAGCTGAGCACCCGAAACCACCCCCACCAAACTCTGTGCACCCCTTAGTCTAGGGAAAGAAGCTGACCCCCTAGTGACCCTAGATCTAGAAGGATACCCAGCAGGCAGTCCGGGAGGACTCTGTCCTGCCGAGCTTCTGCCTTCCCTGTGCCCCAGGGCGGCCCGCTCCCGCCCCCTCTCCGCGGGGCGGGGGCTCTCACCCGCACACGATCGGGACTTCCAGATTTTGAGCAGTAACAAGATGATGGCTAGGAGATGGGAGAGGTCTCCCAGGAATCGGAAGAGGTTCATGACTGGGGAGCTCGGGCAGGGCTGAGCTGGGGGAAGATTGGCCGACCGGGCTGCCCCGGAGCTGCGGTGCTGCTGGGCTGAGGGCGGGAGAGGAGCCCTTCGGTAGCTCAGCTCCGGGGAGGGGGCTCTGGAAGGTGAGCCGAGGCCGGAGCTGGTGGCAGAGCTGGCAGGGAGAAAAGGGAGGAGGGCCAAGGGTGGAAAGGGAGGAGTCTGGGCTGGAGCTCCACCCCGAGGGCGGGTTGGCTCTCTGGCGCCCCCTGTCGCACGCCACCTGCCTTGCAGAGTCGTGCCGAATAAACTGTCCTCTGCCTTCTACTAATCTAGAATCCCACACTCCCTGCCCTTAGCAGCGCTTGAGTTCTGAACTCTAAAGATCCTGGAGCTGCTTAGGGTGATGGTGCAACCTGAAATCTTAGCACTGGAAAGATGAAGCAAAGTGATCCCCAGTTACAGGCCCAGGGCTCCATAATGACAATCCATTCCCCCACAAATTAATACTAATACTACTAATAGTAACGACAACAACAACAACAATAATCCTGGAGATTAAGAGGGTAGACTTCTGGCTTTCTTGGTGTTCTCTAGGTCCAATTCAGTGAGAAGAGCCAGGCCTTCCCACCACACCCAGTCTACTGCCTCTACAATCCCTTTCTTGGCAATCCCTGTATTACTCAACATTCTAACCTACAGTCACAATCCCGTTCTCTTTCAAGACTCAAACGTTGGGGCCTGGCTCTTTCAGAAGCAGTCCGCATCACCCACGTCCTCCCAGATCTTAGGACACAAGAAACAGGAAGTCTGATAAGATAGTTACAGGCTTGGTCTCAGCCTCCACACTCCCTCTTCTCCCACCCCCAGCATCCATCCTCAGGGGTCCAGGAGCGCCAAAGCACACTCCTTCCAATATAATAGAACCTAAGGACTGCCCTCCCAGAGGCAAAATGGGCAGGTGACTTTATGAAAGCTCAAAGGTAGGGTTATGAGGACGGCTGTGTCTGTGACAAAGCAGGACTGAGCTCTCATGGCTGTGAGAGACCATCTGGCCCCTCAGTGAAGGACTTGCTCAGAATCTGGACCTAGCATGAGGAAGAAGGGAGAAGGCCCGGACCTGTCATCTGAGAAAAGAAGGCTGGTATCTAGAATCCTAGTTCTGAAAGAAAGGGCCAGGCATTGAACCCCCAAGTTTGATAGAGGAGAGCCAAGGGTTGAAATTTTGGCAGGGTCTGGACCCCTGGGTCCGAGGGAGGATGGCTAGGATTTAAAACCCTGGGTCATAGGAAAGAGTGCTGGGGTCGGAGAAAGAACTGGACATCTAGGTCTAAGGGAGGAAGGAACTGGGGACCCAGCACCATAGGAAGAGGGCTGTAGGCTGAGATGAGAGGACTGGGATCCGACCCCAGTTAGGGGCAGGGAGGCGGGAAGACTAGGATCTGGTCTGCTGGGTCTAAGGGAGGTGAGCTAGCATTTGGACATCTGATTCCAAGGGATAAGGGATTGGGAGTCTAGACCACTGGCTCCATGGCAGACATCCAGCTTGCATCTGGCCTCTGGGGCCATAGAACTCACAGGATGAGTCTTAGCACGGCGGATGTTGAAGTCCAGAAGAGGGAAGGGGCAATTTCAGGAACTCCCAGCGCTCTGTCCAGGTCCCAAACTGTCTGTACCAGGCAATGTCCTTGTCCACCCACCTCTGCTTCCTCCCATTTCAACACAGCCCCTCAGTTCCATGTCCCATGAGGAAAACAGAGGCTTTGAAATAGGGTAAGGAGTGGCCCCCTCCCTCAGCCCTAACAGGAGGAGAGGTCCCTAGGGAAGCCAGGGGGGGCGGGCTGTGGGTCTCCTGGCAGGGAGGAACGGGGACTGAATGTTAATCGCATCCTGAGTGAGTGTGCGAGAACACAGCGAGTGTGTGATTCCCTCACGCTCTGGCTCCTGCAAGCCGTGGCTGCTGCCGCTGCCGCTACCACCTTCCGCCAGCGCCCGCAGCCTCCTCGGCCACCAGCGCCCTGTTGAGGGGTGTCAGCCTGGGTGGGTCCGCCTGGCCCCCAGGGGTCTCTCGTGCTACAGCCATCTGCTAGGTGAGGATGTGTGTCTTGGTGTCAGGCTGCCTGGTGGGGGGGGTGTGTCTGTAAGGGCTGCGGCGGCCGGTAGCTGAGGGAGGAGGGGTCTGTCTGTCTGGACAGACCCTGAGCCTCCTATCTGCACCTCACAGCCCCCCAATCTGTTCCCTGAGCCCCCAAACCTGGATGGATGGTGTGCACCTGGGTTCTCTGCCTTCTGCCTGCATCCAGCCGAGTGTCTGTGTGTCCCTGGATGCCTGTGTCCTCCTGTCTGTCCAAACAGCCACTGAGAGCAGTGACAACGCGCCTCTGTTGGGGCCCTGCGCAAGCGTGTGTGTGTGTGTGTGTGTGTGTGTGTGTGTGTGTGTGTCTCCCTCATCAAGCTCCGGGGGTGTTGAGGGGGAATCCCAAGGAAGTGAGATATTGTGTGTGTGTGTGTGTGTGTGTGTGTGTGTGTGCATGTGTGTTTCTGCCTGTGCTTGAGAGTGGGGGCACGTGGGGGGGGGCGTCTAGAGGTGGCCAAGCAAGGAATGGGCAAGCAGTCCCCTTGATAGGCAGCCTCACGCTCCTTATACAAACATACACGAGCCACTGGCTTCAGAGGTGACCCAGACAGACAGACAGAGACAAGGGAGCCGGTGCTGAGAGCACAAAGGGGATGCCAATAAGCTAGGGAGAGGTGATGGGACATGCCAGCCAGAGGAGGAGCCCGGACTAAAGCCGGCAGAGGGGGGCACCCCAGGTGGGCGGAAGGGGATCCCCATGGGGTCAGGCCGCAAGAGGACACCCCGACTGCCTCTGCAATGTCCGGGGCCCAACTTCCAGCGCAACATGTGTAGCCTCATCCTTGCCTAGTCTGGTGGCCGCAACCTTGGGGGACAGGGCAGGGCAGGATCAAGAAGAGGAGGGACAGAGCCGGGACAGGCAAAAGGTCCCCGCCACTGCCTGCGCTGCTGCTGTTGCTGCTGCTGCTGCTGCTACCTCGCTGCCGCCCTCGGCCTGGCCCCCAACCAGCTCCCCAACACTCCACGGAATCTTTGGGTCTCTGGACACCGGTTCCGGTCCTGGCCCCCCAGCAACTCACCCCACAGAACAGGGTCATGAAAAGGTAAGGCTGGGCAGGGGATAAAGGGGTGGGGGTGGGAATATGGCCCCCTCCAATCTAGGGCAGGGAAAGTTGGCCAGGGACCGCAAGGAGGGAAGGGGTTTGAATGTGAGTGAACCAGACGTCTCTGCCCCCTTATCCCTCAGGGACTATCTTCCATCTGCTCGCGCGCGCACTCTCTCTGCCCCTTTCCTAGGTTTCTACACCTCAAAACCACCTCAGGCCTCTATTCCCCTGGCACTTCACCCTGTCCCCGGCAGTGCAGAACTGAATCCCACCTCTGCCTATCTCTGCACCTCACCTTCTCCCTTCTCTACACCCCTTCCCTGCATCAGTCTCCCCATAGCCAGCTATCCCTCTCTCCTTTCGCTCTCCCCTCCCACCTCAGAGCTATGAGTCTGCTATTAATACCCCGCCAAGGACCTTGAGGGCGTCCAGTGCCCAGCACCAGCCCAGAGCAGCCACCCCTTCCTCAAGGTTCTGGAATGCCCTTCCAGGACTGGGGTGGGAGACATTGGTTTGTGTGTGCATGCAGTGGGGGACAGGACTCTCTCTGCAGCACAAGGAGGGGAAGCTGCTGACCACAGCCTCCCCCGTTCCCACAATGGTTTAGGGGGCAATGGAGGCAGAGACCTCCTTCCTCCTTACACTCTGGACAAGATATAAGAGGAACAACTGGGGAGGCCAGACCTAGTGGGCAGCAAGGATGTTGGGACTGATGGGGTCTGAGCAAAAAAAGGGGGGGCTCCTTAAAGGAGAACAAGACAGAAACCAAGATTCCCAGCTGTTGGGGCGGGAGGTGGCCAGGACGTCCGGGTCCTGAGGAAGAAATGAGTGCACTACTGTGCTGGGTGCGGTGGGGGTGCCTGCCAGGCCAAGTCTTCAGTCGGGAATTTAGGGAGGGCACCATGAGAGAGAGAAGGGCCAGGACTTCTGACAGAGCAGGCTGGGGAAACGGCTGCTTAGGCCACCATGGGGACGGAGTAGATGTCTAAACTCATGAGGTGGAGGTCGATATGGACTTTGCCAACCCTGTTCTGAGCTCTGGGGACTTTGCCTTCAGAGAACTGATACCGGGGTGAGACGGCTGGGTAGAAAGGTTGCCCTCAGGAATCCTCCCTCTATGGGAAAACAGTGCCTCCTGATGGGGTGGGGCTGAGACTGCCCTCCTAGGCCTCACAGTGACAAGAACCTCAGACCCCAAAACTGCAGAGGCCAGGGTCTGAGAAGCGAAAGAGGGGGCTGATGGCTGAGCAGCTACCAGGAAGGGAGAGGAGAGCCAGTATTAACCCCGCAGGGGCCAGGCCACAGCTGTGCGTTATTTTGGGGAGGAAGGGGGGGCTATTCTGAGCACGGATTGAGCCAGCTGCTAGGGGAAGGAAAGGCAATGGAGAGGAGGGACAGGAGGAGGCACAGCCTGCGGGAGGGGGCACCCCCTTCCCGGGGGAGACAGAGGCTCAGGCCCTCCAGAAAGGTGGGATGGCAATTTGGAGGGTGAGGTTTCCAGGCAGGGTAGGGGATGTGGGCCTCTGCCCCAACCCTTGCTGTCTAGAATGGACAAGCCTGTGCTACCATGGCAACAAGACAGGAAACTGACAGCCAAGAGAGAACCCTTCTGTATCTGGACCCTGACCCTTTCAGGAAGCCCCCAGTGCAGGCCCTTAGTGCTTTCCGGGAGCAGAGATCAGGCCCCCATGACCGCCTCCGTAGAGCTAGTACCCAGGAGCCTGGGATCTTGGTCCACCCACCCCAGGCAACTAGTACTCAACAGGGGGCACTGGAGGCAACACTTCCCTTTAATTTACTAAATTGCTCTGGGCTGGAAGCCAGGAAGCCCCCCCAGCAGTGCTCCACAGCTGTGCCCCCAACCCCAAGACTGGTTTGTCACTCAGCTTCATCAAGAATGAAAATGAGGGGGCAGGGACAGGAGGAGGGGGCTGAGAATGGCTTGGGGTGGTGGGTATTTCCTCTCCTTGGATACCCCACTAATTTCTCCCCCCTTTCTCTCCCTGCACACCTGACCCCCTTTTCCTCTCTCATTTCCCCCTTTACTCTCTTCCTTTTATTCTCTTTCTCTCTGCCACCTGGCTCTGCTTTGCTTTCATGTCTGTGCTGGGCATCTCCCGGGTGGGGGTCTGGGTCTCTGCCTTGTCTCGCTATTTCTGTCTTCTCTGTATTTCATTTGCTCTGCCTGCCTTCCTCCATCTCCGTTCCTTCTTCCTGAGGTTGGTGTTTGCCTGACTCTGGGTGGCTGTGGGTCCCCCTGCCTTCTATACCCCCCAACTTTCTCATCTATCTCTCCATCTCTCCTTGCCTGGCCACCATCCTCTCGCTTGGTCGTTCTCTTGTGTCTTTGTCCATTTGAGCCTCTCCTTCCATCTCTCCTGACCATATCTAACTGTCCCCTCTTCTTTGCCCTCACTCTGGTTCTGTTGGTGGTTTTTGTCCCGTCTCTGGGTCTCTTTCCCATTTGTATGATCCCTGTCCATTCATTCCCTGCCTTCTCCCCCCTTCTTACCTCTGTATCTTCCCTGACCCCATTACTCACCCCCTCCCGCCTTTGTGTCTCCTGGTTCCCACATTCCATTCCTCCATCTCACCCCCCACCCCTCCCTCTGCTTGGATTCCATCTTTCTCTTCCACTCCCTCCATTGCCTTTCTCGCTGTCTCTTCTTGTCTCTGGTCTGTGTCTGTCCATCTTTTGCCTCTTTCTCTCTCTCTTCATCTGTTTCTATGCTTCTGCCTCTCCGTCCCTCACTTAACTTTCTCCTCTCACCCTGACTCTGCGTCTTCCCTCACTATCTGGGTCCCACTGCCACCTTCCCCATCTCCGTTTCTCAATCTCTGTCTCCTCTCTCTGTCTCTGTCTCCCCTTATCTCTGTCCCTCATCCCTGTTTCTCTCCGTGTCTGCCCCTCCCTCTTCTCCATCACCCACCCTTCCCCTCTCGCCCCGTCTCTCCTGTGCCTCCCCTCGGGCTCTGCCCTCGCCTCCTGTCCGCGCAGAGGCCGCCCGGCGGGGCCCGCAGGCGATGCGCGGCGCCGGTGGC